CAGCATCAATTCTTTCCCACCTTTCACAACGTGAGTACTAAGCGTGAACCAATCCGTACTCTGGATAACATCGCTTAGCACAATGGCCGAGCCGTCTGATCCGGTATCGCCCACCACGTCTCACCACTCTGCCCCGGTTTCATTCTCATCCACTACGACATCATTCCCTTCGAGAGCACCTCTGGTTCACCACCTTCCAGCCCTGAAGGCAGACCTAAAAAAGGTATCAGCAGCTCGTGGCAATGTCCACGATCTGAAAGTGGCAATCCTTGTACGATGGGAAGATGACAATACTGGCGCAGACAAAGATATCACCACTATGGGCAAAGTGATGGAAACCTTCGGCATCCAGTATACCGAGTACATTGTGAAATCATCAGATACGATCCCAGGTTGGAATCTTCAAGGCAAGATCCGCGAAGTCATGTATGGCTGTCATCGTTCCAAACGGCATTCCTTATTCGTGTTCTACTACGTCGGGCATGGAATGATATCTGATGGGCGTCTGTCTTTTGTCTCCGGCAAGAGGTCTATGCCATGGTCCCGCATTTGTGCAAACTTTTGGGACGAACCGGATGCTATGAAATACGTCGATGTACTCGGGGTACTTGATTGTTGTTACTCTGGTGCTGCGACAAGAGCGCAGCAGACAAGAACGATCCAAATGCTGGCGGCCTGTGGTGCCAATGAGGGAACAAATCCTCGAGCTCAGACAGTGTCATTTACTATGCGACTATTCCGTGCAGTTCAGCACTTCAAAGGCCAGTCGAGTGTGACCACAGCCGCCTTGTTTCAAGAAATTCAAAGACAGAAACCGCCCCATGCTCCAAATGCTGTGATGGAAACTATTAGCGGTACTCAGCCGATTAGACTTGTGTTCAAGAACTCCACTATCCCCTCGCGCATTCCTCGCTTTTCCTCGCATGCGAACGAGAAACATGTACTTGTCAAACTGACTTTGCATGGTCACAGCCACATATCAGGTCATAGCGACGTCCTACAACGCTTCCAAAAAGCGATCCAAGATCTACCGCCCAATATGAAAGTGGAGATTTCGGACGCGTACGAGACTGATGAATCCGTTTTCCTTGTTATGGGGATGTCATGGGAAGCTTGGGCGCTTTGGACCATGGTGGCCCATTTGGACTTCATAGGTGTCACTCTTGGCCCTTCCCTGATGCCCAGGCGTCTTGAAGTTCCAGTTCGGGCCGTTGAAGAGAATTTGCGTCCTTCGCCTGGAAAAGGAAAAGGAAAAGCCGAATAAACTGCGAGCTACCTTGAACTTTCTCTCTCTTTTTTCATTCGCTACTTTCTCTTGTTCTGTGACCTAGGTTGATAATATACCGGTCAATGGGCTCGGAGTAATCAGTTATTTCCGAGGGTATTAACTACACTTTTCAAAAAAATCAATCTCTGCCAGGAGCTCTAGCTGTTAGGGGCCCTGGCTATGTAGTAAAGCCGCGGGCCAGGAAAGGAGTTATTTCTTTCCCAAAATAAGCTCACTACCATTTTTGCGAGCTATCTACTTAAAGGATAAACTTATTTACCTAGAGGAAGTATAAAGAGTACACCTATCACTCCTATTTATTGACATTGTGTGATGTATGTGTGTCTATCATTCTTCAAAGCTCGGAGGCTGTCCAGTCTCTGCTTTTGATTCAACTAGAAGCTGGTGCAACTGATAAGCGTGTAGGTTCCTTCTTTAAGAAGGTAACATAAGTAGGTATCTGCTCTAAGCATCACCACCATAATAGGCAAGTACGCCTGCGCCCTCGGCGCCGCCCAAGAACAGCCTACAAGAAGCTGGCAGGGCGATTCAATTCGAACGAGTTCTGATGCGCGAAAATGGCGCATGACATGAAGGCCGGATCGAACAACGGAAAGAACCATGTAAGGCTTCTTTGCCTTGGGTCAGGTCCCCAGTATTCTTTCTCCTATCTAGACGCCAGACAAGCAGTGGCAGGGTAAATAAGTTCATAATTGCCGACCCATGTAGAATAGTAGATTCAAGTTAGCAATTGAATCGAGCAAGCCAAGGTGCCGGATTGATATCTCGAAATTTACATTGTGATCGGGTTGAAGCTCCGATCCAGCTGCCGTGCGACTAGGTCTTCCCAATCCTTCTCCGTGAGGACAAAGGACAGTGCAAACCACATATGGTGGCCAGTCCCAAACACCGGCCAAAATCCCAAAGCGTCCATCCGAGTGGCACTCCAGAAGATCAGACCGTACGGGCGAAAGGCCGCGTAATCCACGCATCGCAGCGGCGAAGTTAGAGACAATCGAGCTGCACCCAAAGACATTGCACCATGCGAGGAATGATAGTCATAGTCATGTATATAGGTCTCTTCGTCCTCCCATTGCTCATCATTCAACGGTGTATAACATGGGTAGTAAGACCGGTATTCCGTTGAAACCGGTCCGGAGGCCAGCCATGAGTACACGTTTTCACGCCGTCCGGCCTGACCATCTAACCAGGAAAGAGTCGTGGCGATCTGCTCCAGCTGGCCACCCTTCTCGCCCTGAAAGACTTTCTTCCAAAAGTCCTCGACCGTATCGTGCGACGAAATCTGGAAGGTTTCTGATCGCACCGAGACCACGGAGAAATCCGCATACATCTTGCGTAGTTCGTAGAAGATGACAATACAGAAAAAGCTCTCGAGCAGGCGCTGCTCTTCAACCCACATCATTGGACCAACATCAACCGGCGTATAAGGGATCCCCTGCGGACGATGGCTGGGCCCAAGCCTGTGTGTATTGATAATGATATATAAAGCTTTCTTCGGTAAGTGCTCGATCCGGAGCTGGAGGGACTTCGCAACCAGTGCGTGGAATGACGCATGCACGAGGCAGCGCAACCGGGACATTAGCGCGAGCAGCCGACACAGAACAGCTGCTGGCGTCGACGCTGATATGCTCCCTAAATTCGGTGTTAGGCGGCCGAAACCATATCTCGCAAGGTATCGCAGGTTGTCGAGGACACTCGGGTTTCCGGCTGTTTCTTGCTGTTCGTTTTGTTCAGTTGGCTGCTGTTGCCGCCTTCTTGACTGCTCAGTCCAGATGATCACCAGTTGCCGTACATCACGCTGCACAACCGGGAACAGGCCTCTTTCGTGGGCCGTATTTTCGATTATGGTATCCACAATCCGGGCGAATAGGTCATTGTTTTGGTGCAGGAAGGTTGCGACTTCCGTGGATGCGTTGTGTAATCTGTGGAGCGACGGTAGATCTGGCAGAGCGGACAGGACATTTTGCAGAGCAAACCAAGGAGTCGGCCGAAGGTATCCATCCTGTCTTGTTTGTTCGGGCAAGAATAGAGATAGATTATCCTTTGATAACGATTTGAACGCAGGTACGAAAAGTGTATTCCGCTTCAAACGAGCTTCCACGAAAAGTGTGCTTTACTCCGGTCAAAGCATCATCTTAGACACGCAGTCATTGTTGTAGCTTGAACAAAATCCTCGGGGCAAGCAAGTTAATATAGGTGCAATATAACTATATTCCAGCGGGCCAATGATAAATTATCTAGATGTCCACACACGTGATGTTGATTACCGGGAACCTCTGCCTGGCATTTTGAACCTCAGTCTCCTTTTCATGAACGGTGTCATATTGCCATGGTTGTCCTCGAGTAGATGACAGTATTTGGTAATGTGTTTATATCTTGTGTGCCCACGGGTTCTAAAGAATTTTTGGCGCTAATGGAATTCATCTACAACATATGTCCAATGGGGTAACAGGCGAATTCACCAGAGATATCCATGGATTTCTCTTTCTACAATCTGCTATAATCAACAAAGCGCACGAATGGTGTTCTGGCTTGTCGAAGCCTCGTTCTGGTAGACCAAAAAGGCCAAATGAGACCGACAAAAGTACGTCTTCTCGATGCTATGGAAGTGAAGTGCCAGGAGATGTTTTCAATTCAATCATTTTTCTGAATTCAAAAGACGGGGGAAAAAATCTAGGAAACACCTCGTTCGGTGTTGATGTTGAACCGGTATACCAATTCTTCTCTGGGCCAAAGAGCAACCATTCATTGATGGCCTCTTGCCTTCTGTACAATGTATCATACACACTTGACAGCTATTCTTTAACGGCGGAGGGCATCTCTGATAGGGGAGTCACCACGGCGGAAGGAGGCTAAGTACAAGTTAGCTCAGTCATTCTTAGATCTTGGAGATAGGTAGGCTCGGGGAAAAGCGGATAGTCGGGTCACTGTTGAGGGGCCTACGAAGCTCGATGCTGAAAAAATTACAGCATACAGCCTCTGCCCAAGCTCAAGTGTGCTTATCTTATAGTGACCCGAAGCTCCAACTTCACTAAATGCCCCTCTAAATGCCCGTAAACCGAATGAATTAGAGATATGAACGTACCATCAGCCTCTTCCCAAGCACGTCCGGCACCGAAGCCGAGACCAATCCACGCGGGCCAAGCCTTCCGCTTGAAGAGCAGCACCGAGAAGACAACACCGAAAGACAGACCGAGGGAGGACTTGATGATCACAGAGGAGATAGCGCGGTCCCACTAATTATATGACGTTAAAAGGTTAGCCAACGGGTTCTCCCATGTTTCCTTCCAGACCGAGACAATTGTCATATATATCAATGGTATGATTCTATATTGCAACTTCCCCATTTGAAGATCCCAGCTAGCTCATACCTTCTCGTTAAGCAAAGCCTCGCTGACGGGCTTGGTGGCTCGCGCGATCGGCCCGGATTCACTGGATTCAGCCATTGCGATAAATCTATCGGTGCAGAAGTAAGCATCAATTGAGCCGGAGTGAATTCCGAGGGTAAAACACGAACCAGTTGCAATTATGTGGAATTATAGAGGTGAATGGAGGCGTGTGGAGTGCAAGGAGTTTGGGAGGTTTAGCGGACCGAGTCGATTCGGCCAAAGGCGGTCGGAGCAATATGCGGTTTTTCTTTTTGGTCTTCGTTTTTTTTTCTCTTCCTCGACAAATAAATACCCACTCTCTCGAATAATTTGCTTTTTTCGAGATGCCGTTGATTGCGGAGGTAAGTCAAATGTGACCTTCGAATGATACACGTCTTTTTCCCGGGATCTAATGTGTTGCGCACCTACAGCGTCCGCGCTCATCGCAAGAGGCGCTCCTCCGCCTTGAGAAGGGCACCGCCAGTCCAACGACTCAGATTCATGAAGCGGCACAGATCATCGGTGTGGATTTGACACTATGTGAAAGTCACCCGGAAGTTCATCGAGATGTTCGAATTCAAACAAACGCTACCCCGAAGGAGGAATGGGTTCTGCGATGGCTATTAAAGAGGTTGAGAAGTGGGAAAAACTATAGAGTGGACGCGGCTTCGTTCCTTCTATTACGACAGCTCATCAACCTGATTTCGCCGAAGAACATCGCTGCTATTCTTAAAGATCAGAAATTCTTATCGATTCTATGTGATACACTCGAAGATTTGGAGGCCGATATATTTTCTGGTCTGGGAGCAACCCTTAGCTCTGACTCCGAGTCTAGTCACACACTGTCTGCATCCCCGACACGCGATGATCGCCGAGGAAGCCAAGGGAAAAAACGCAAGAGAATGACAACTGAGAATGATGCAGACGCCATGGACGTGGACGTGGACGAGCAGCGTCAGAACCCCGCAGCGTGCTTCCTCGCCTTCATCCGCGCCTTGGATTGTCTGCACGGATTTGTGGCACTTGCACAGCGCACACTAGGCACTGATGGGGTGGCAAACTCTCATTTGAAGCTTGCGCTGAGAGGCGAGCCCGAGGCCGTCGCCATGCTACTGGGTCGAGCATTCCGGGTAGCCGCCGTGGCCGCCAAGCAGTTCTCGCATGAGGGGAAAACAACCGATCTTCAGCACTTGCTATACGTTTTTCCCTCGGCGGTGGAGCTGTGGGAGTCAAGGTCTTACCGTGAAGATGATATGGACAACAAGTCCAGTAATGAATTTTTCGCGAGACATTGCTTCGCCCACGCGCTCAGGCTCCAGATTTGTCTGCGGTCCGCCAAACTTGACACCGACGAACGAGCCAATCTGCTGCATGCGGTTGAACGCATTATTGCCCTGCATGTCTTACTTCCCGCTCGTGCAGCATTCTTTGAGCGTGGAGGCTCTGGAATCGATTATTCTCAGGATGAGCCCGACTGGAGCTCGGTCAAACCAGTGACTGATACTTTCAGGCCGATCATTCGCGAGTTTGCCGTGGCCAAGGAAAACAAAGCAACCAATGAAGCTTGTATGCATCCCTGGCGATCAGTGGAACTTCTTCCTGAGCTTTTCGACAACGCCGTGCGTGCTGTTCCTAGAGATGTGTTCCGGAGGCAGACACATGAAGCGCCGTGGTTGGAGACTTTATTCGTCGCTGTTGCAGAGCTAGCGTTTTCTACAGCAAAGGAGGAAGACTTCGCTACCTTCTCTTCCAAGTTCATCTCGGTATTGGAGCACCTCCTCCAGGTCGCTCTCGACCGGAAGGTCGGTCTTTCTCTTCACACCATTCTGGCGCATGCCAATTACACAGGTCTTTTCGAACAAGGTCTTGAGAAGGTCCAGTGGAATGTGACGGCTCTGTTTATCAGTCTTGGGGTCGATATTTTCCTGCCAAACTCCGGTTTGCGTGATTCGCGTAAGCTTCTTGACGCATTGCTCGACAAGGTCCTGTTACAATGGCGTGAGAGTGGTTCCCGGAAACGGAGGGACTACGACATAATCAAGAGCAAGGTTGTGCTGCCGTTGTTACGAGGTTTCGCTGCCGCAAGAGACCTGCCCAGCTTCATGGAATTGTGGCACAATCAACTCCTTATTGTGGAGGAGGCTCGCCAAGATAACAGCAATCTGAGTTTATTCTCGGTTTGGGAAGATGATGAGTTGGCGGATGCTTACTCGGAGCTGATGCGAACTTCGCTCACTGAGACGCATGTTGCTGCCCAGATGCGCACCGCTGCTAGCGAGACGCGAGCTGAAAATGGCAAAGTCGCTGACACCCCTCAGTCTTATGCCAAGTTTGTTCTTGTTGAGGCAAGTTTCCGTGGCCGAGTCTCGACGTTCCCGGAATCGGAAAAGACATTAGCATCTCTCCTAGACACCATAAGCTCTACTCTGTCATCGAAGCAGGCTCTGCACTGGCGATGGCGTCTGTGGCGGCTGGTTCGGAATTTCCTAGAGAACACCCTGCAGTCAGCCGATAATACCATGGCAGGTACAATTATGCCGTTGGTAGAAGTCGCCGCCAAGACTGTTCACCGCAACCACAAGGACCTAACCAAAGCTCAACTCGCTCCTCTGGAATCGTGGGAGGCTTACCGGTTCCTGATTGCTGCAACCAAGGCACACGCCAGTGATGAGCTAGGCTCATTCGTTAAAGCTACCAAGGATGTCATAGACTTCATCACCTCCATCTCAACCAAGGATGCCAAGAAGTCGATGAAGGCACCCTGGAATGGCCGCACAGATACTGTGAATTCCCAAACAACCCTTGGTCTAGCTTATTTCCTGGCCCTTGTCAGAGTTCCAGAAGTCTGGGCTCTTATCTCTTCTGAGGATCGATCCCGTCTATTCCGTCATATCCTGTCCCTGGCAGCTGCTCAATACCATTCGTCGTCGTTGCCCTTGGAGGCTGTTTCGGAAGAAGCAAGGTTCCTTCAGGCATGGGCGAGTGTGGTCTGCCATGAATACATGCTCAACGCTCCCTTCATTGTCTCTGATCTTTCCCTTCTTCTCAACGAGAGCATCGAGCAAGATCCCCTCAATCGCAAACTGCTTGTCGAGAGCTTGCAGAGGGTTCCAGCCCCGTTGATCACCCGGGGACTGAGAACCACCATCTTGAACAAGTTGCAAAATGTTCTACTTGAACAGAACAGTTCTCCGGAAGTCACAATTGGAATAATTACGATGATGGCGAAATTGGCTGCCATGCCTAAGTGTGATGCCACACTGACCAGTGACTGGGAGCCCATCTGGACTGCTGCTCGAGCCGTACCATTAGAGGGTACCGACCTCGACCTCCAGATTATGAAAGCATTCCGAAGCCTGCACCACGCGATATCGGCAAAGCTTCTGGTTTCATCTGAGAATGACCGGAACAAGATGTTCAAGAAGCTCTTCGCCCGGGCATCGAAGCAAACAGCTAAAATGGAGCAGGTGGATCGTGATTCCATGGCCTGTTACCTTCTGAGGTTGACCTTGTCAGAGCTCTGGGTTCATCGCGAGCAGCTGCAGACAGCCTTCTCGGAGAAGGAACTTGCCGCTTGTCGCCAAAAAGTGTTTGACTTTGTGTTGGCTGACATGAAACATGTCAAAGACCAGTGCAGGAAGCAGAAGTTGGAGGAAACAATTACTATCATCAAGACCATCGATGCTCTAGAGGATTTCGAAGATCTAGCCACCAACAACGTCGAAGTGGAGAAGTTCCTTTCCAAGATCGACAATTACATGGAATTGACCGTTGACTCGGAACCCTCTCGGTTGATCCGACGACGTCTTCTTGCCTGCAAGGGACCCGAAGAGAACATCGCTCAGCCAGTCTTACAATGCGCCGAGACGCTTGCTCTTCAGTCTCTCTATGCCGAGGACCAGCAACTCTTTATCCGGACCACCACTGAACGCTTCCGCTCAATGACCGTAGAAAAAATCACCCAGACGATCTGCGAAGTTCGCGGACTTGGCTTGATTGGCGAAAACGCCAGCTACAGACTACTCGTGCTCTACCTCGCCGTTTCCTCGCTCTCTCCCGTCGAAGACAAAGAGAGCGCCACATCACGCGAGATCTCCCTCCTCTGCACATCCCTCGCCGAAACCATCATCCAAAGCACAAGCATCGACCAATTCTGCTTCGCATCGGAATGCCTGGACCTCCTCCTCCGCAGCCACACCCGCAGCCTCACCCAATGCAACATCGACAGCATTCTCGGCGCAATCGCCAGCGCCTCCTCCAAAATCGGCCCCAAGATCTCCCCAGCCTACGCACCAACCATCTACACCCGCCTGTGCCGACTAATGGGCGTCATACTCAGCCTGCAACGCCTCAAGATCGGCGGCCGCTTCCACCTAGTAGTAAACGCCATGCAGCGCCTACTAGGCTGTCTCTTCGCGCGGTCCCGCAAACGCGGCCGCTCCCGCTTCCAGCCCACCCTCTCGCAGCCCTTCTGGCTCGCCCCGCTCGACGCCTCGCACGCTACCTATTACACCCGTCTGTTGACCTCGCTGTGCGACCCTACCGTCTCGGCCGTCCTCCGTCCCCAGCCTGGCGCATCCCGCGAGGCCCTGACTGATCAGACGAAGAAGGCGAAGCGTATTGCCGGCCAGTACTTGCAGTATGTTGTTATGGAGTATGCGCAGTGCTCGCTGCGTGGGTCGCTGTCTCCAGATGTCAAGGCTGCTATCTTGCCTGGTCTTTATGCGGCTCTGGATGTCATGTCGCGTGAGTCTATGCGTGCGCTTAATGCTGCGTTGGATGTCTCTGGCCGTGCAGTGTTCAAGTCGCTCTATGATGACTATGTGAAGTTCGGAAAGTGGAATAAGGGTTGATTGGGGTTTTGTGGGTAACTGTCTTTAATCTGTATATTACCTTTTGCTTAAGAATTATGATATCCCCCAATGCATTGATGCTCATCATATTGTTTTCAAATAGAATATTAGAAGATATTAACAAAATATATCATGTCCCAATTTGTTGGGCTTATTAGGGTAAGGAAAAGTGGTCCCGGGGCACTAGGGTGTCTCTGGCTTCTACGCCAATACATGCACTGTCTGGTTCTACGGATGAACAAAACATTACAGAAGGCAAGAAGAAAAACAATAGCAGGAATAGTGGGATCAATTCTACCCAACAAACATTCAAACAGTCAATCTATTATTGTGGCCGTCTAGAGCAGAGATTCTAGATAGGGTATCATGAGAGATCATAAATCATGTAAGATCAAAAACGGCGCAGGGGAAAAAAATGAGTAGAGAAAGAAAATGGTAATAAATCATCAAGACGTAGATCATCTAGATCCTAGAAGTCTCCAAAGTGCGCGGACTCAGGCAGGGCACAGACACATTGTCTAATACCGGGATCCGCGAAGATCGAGACGTAGCGGAATTTGTGCGGGAAACATGGCGCGAGTGTTGATTTTGCTTGTCCCCTGTGTCGGGAATGGGGTGCTCGGGGATACGGATATCCAGAGAAAGACCGTTGTGGCCGCTGTGTGTGAGACAGCCGACACAGCTGCAGTCGCTACCGCATTGGCAGCTCCCCGTCATGTCAGAACAGGCGCTTGGTAGGCCGACTGGGTATTCCAGGGTGTAATACTCCGAAGGATGCATTAACTGCTGGTTCAGATGGTGGTTTGTGGATAGAGGGGAGGAGTAACCGCTGGCTAAGGTAGAGTTTGGGTCCGAGTAGCTATCAAATGGAATCGGCTGGAAGCCATGGTCCATTGAAGGAGTGCTTTGAATGAAGTAAGGGAATGAGGTCGAAGGGGTGCCTCCCTGGTAAGGTGAGGTTTGGTAAGGGTTGATGACTTCTGGGTTCTTTTCATCCCCGTTGGAGGTGATCATGGCACCCATCTCTTGGACATGTTTTCGTGTTGTAGTATTGAATGGATGAGCAGCGCAGCCAAGACACTGACAATCTTCTCCACAGCTACAGTCATGACAAGAGTCGCCGCCTAGTGGGGCGTTGTAGGAAGGCTCGAGGTTGTTGAGCATGTATGGACTCATAGAAGCCTGCGTAATTCCAAGACCGTTCATCTCGTTGGAGTACGCCATGGACGGCGGTGCAGTCACACCGAGTGACATCCCTATCTGCGGCATTTGGGGCTGAGAGTGTGGCAGCACCATTCCCATGTACCCATTATGGAGGCTTGGGTGTTGGGGATGTACCTGATGCATGGCGGAATGCATGTAGTCATCATGCGTGGGAATCGAGGAATTCTGCCAGGGGGCCATTTGAGGCATTGGGAATTGCATATAACTCTGATCATCCCAAGCAATAGGCGGCTGAAATTGTGATTGGTCGGCCTCTGAGTAAACAGCTTGGTTTGTCGTAGGAGGGCGAGACCCTCCACAGCAAGATCCACCATTCTGAGCAGGAGCAGCAGCCGCAGTAGGAGCTGGGGTCGGGGTTGGTGCCTTTGGCTTTTGTTTTTGAGAGCAGCAGCTTGATACTTGGGGAGACTGCGAGTCTTGCCTGGGAGTTTCTGTGGGCGTTGGCGTACTTCGGTTTTGTGTAGTAGAAGATATGTGTGCACCATCTAACCCGACCTGTGAAGAGAAGTCTGAAGTCAAGTTCGATGTTCCATCCTCGAGCTTAACCTTGTCTGGCATATTTTGTAACGCCCGAGCTATGTTTTCAGGTGCTGCTTGCATAGTACTTTGTCTTCTTCCAGACTTCTGGACCTTGCCCGGCGCAGGTGACGATGTGGGAACCATGGATGGTGGGGGAGACTGGGTTGACTCGTTGGTATCCATAGGAACTTTATAGAGCGGACGACATAGACATGATGAGCCTGGGCAAGTCAGTACAACGCAAACACATGTGTAGTGGTTTGACAAATATATCCTTCCTTACCTTTCGGAATGCGGACCATCACGGCATATGACTTCTGGCAGCTGCAGGTTCCCTTCGGGTGGGGGCATTTTGCAAGAGGTCGCCCGGCTTTAGGGACCTTCATCATGAGTCTATCGAAATGCTGGCATTTTGACGATCGGTGACCTCGAATGCATGGTTCACTGGTGTAACGGTTTAGCCCGGTTTCATTGACAATGTACGAGATATTCCTACCAGGACCACTTGGCACCTTCTTCATCGAGAGGCATGTTGGCGAAGGAATATGTATGATTCCGTCGAATTAAGGTGAGACGCAAGATTGATTCGTAATGTCGCAACCGTGTGTCGCAGAACCCCAACCGCTAGTCGATACCCCGCGCATGCAATCGCCCGTTTCCGCTAGGACCGTCAGACGCCTCGTATTTGGTGACGAACTAAGCCATATGTATGCCGGTATTGTCAAAGTTGTTCGCGTGAGCAGATCAGAATAAAAGGTGGAGTCTAGACGGAGCGAAGTGGAGGTTTGGTTTCTTCAACGGTGAAGCGGGAGAGACCGGGGCTGATGTGATCGCACCAACACCACGAGTAATAGAATAAGCACTAGGATATCGAATCTATATGATCCGAATAGGCTATAGATCGTAAGTTCCGGCTTTTCCCAAGTACAAACGAAAAAAAAGTCAGAAAAAAGGTGCGGGGAGGACGGTACCTGGCCATTAGGTAAGGCAATACCTTCCTGTTCGGGTTTGGCGCGTCGGAATTGTTTCGATGACGGCACTTGGACACTTTTGGACTTTCGGACTTGGACTTTGGCGACTTTGGATTTCAAACCACCACAATGCCGCCCAAAGGCCCCGATAGCCCTCCAGAAGAGTCCAATGCCAGTCCATTCTTTACAGTCCCTGCTCCTATCAGGCGCCTCTTCGACAAGTTCCCGTTGATTACCTATCCGGCCAACGAGATCCCTCAACGCCTTCGACCGCGACACGAGAATATCAACCAGCTGTACGTTTTCGCCGACGCATCTGGTGTACGACATGGCCGGCCTTCATTCAACCCTCAATGTCTCAAATGGCAGGTTCGTGCCGTCTATACTCGCATGCAAGGATGCGTGTAGCCGTCCCTGTCGGAACCACACTGATCGGTCTCGCACTAGGCATACTTGAAATTCGTTGGAATTGACTTTGAGATCACCTCGTCCAACAATCATGCATCGCCGAATGGCTCCCTACCCTTCCTCCTCCCTTCGCTGCCTGCGGACGCCTCAAATCCGATCCCTTCACACAAGATCCAAAAATGGGCCATTGAACAAGTCCACTGCGAGGAGGAACAGCAATTGAACCTGCGGTTCGAGGTTTATGCCTCGCTTTTGGACAACCGGATACGCAGCGCTTGGGTAGGCCGATGATTCCATCTAAACCGAACCCTAGACTCGGAGCTGACGACGTGTCTAGTTATACATGCTTTACCTAGACAGTGAGAACTTCAACGCCGTCGCACGCCGACTCTACGTAAATCCCACAACCTCAAACTCGATCGTGCGCGCAGCCCTAGGCCACCAGCTACAACAGGCTGCCCGCGATGAGCTCCTCAAGACATCGCGCTACATCGACGCCGCTGCCCTGGAAGGCGATGCGGGTGGTGCATTTGAGGCCCTATCCACCTTGCTCGGCAAGGACGAGCACTTCTTCGGCCGGCCAAACCCGGGCCTCTTTGATGCCAGCGTCTTTGCCTACACGCAGCTGATCTTGGATGATACCCTAGGCTGGAAACGGAACCGGCTAGCACAACTGCTCAAAGAGCATCCCAACCTTGTACAACACCGCGACAGACTACTGAAATTCTTCTAAGTGTATAACAGCAACTCATGGCGTTGGATTCGAACTCATTATCTAGATAAAATGATATCTCCGTTGATCTACTTTCCATCTCATCCCGTCTTAACAAAACAAACCCCAAACCAAACCCTAACCCCAACCCACTTCTTCGCCCTCGCCCCCAGAACATCCCCCAATTGATCATCAACCCCCCTAACAACCACCCCATCCGCACCCGCTCCAACAACCTCCACAACCTCAAACCCAGCCTCCCTAGCCGCATCCAAAACATCAGGAATAGCATGACAATAACTCGTAGGCCGAACCTTCACACCCCTCTCATCCGTAAACCCTGCCTGACTCCGCATCCCCATCTCCGCATGCATATTCGTCACAAGCAAATACGCCCCGGACCTCATAATCCCCGCCGCAGCCGCAAAAAACCGCCCAAGCGGAATATGCTCCAGCACCAGCGTAGATATCACCCCCACAGCACCGGGTGCATACAACGAAGCCGGAAGCTGCGTCCTCGATACCTCAGGCTGAAGAAGGTCAAGGATCCCCAGCTCAACGTGCGTCTGTGCTGCATTTTCCGCCGTATACCGTCCTGTCGCCGTCCGCGCTACGTCTAGCATCCCGCGCGAAGCATCCAGTCCGATTACCGAGAAGGAGGTGGCTTTGTTGGCTGTGCTTAGCGCGGTCAGGAGCTGGATTGTGTTGCGGCCGGTGCCGCAGCCTAGATCTACTAGGCTAGGGCGGGTTGTCTCGGTCTCGGTATCTGTTGGTTGGAAGCGCTGGCTTACCCGGTCGATGAATTGGGGTAGTAGAGAGCGCATCTCGATTGTGTCGAGGCGTTGGAGGAAGTTGCCGTCTGTGTCGTATACCTGTTTTGTATTAGTATTGGTATATGTGGTAAATAGTGGATACAATTTGAATAGTTATATGGATGCTGTATATATATTATAGTGAAGAGGATGTAGGTGGATGGGAAATAGGAAATGCGATATAGATACACACCTCTGCCCATTTATCGTATGCTTCGACCGTGTCGATGTACTGCGTCTGCTTTGGGTTTCCGCACGGCTTTGCCGCTAGCAACTCCTGGATTGTCTCCATTTTGAAGGCTAAGGTGTACCGTGGAACGACTCTCGATCTCGGTGGGTTAGCGGGGATATATC